TAGTGAGTGTATCTCTCATTTTTTAATGTTTGTTGATTTTTTGGCATGTCCTGGTTTTTTTTTTTTTTTTTTTTTTTGCAGTACAGGTTATTGAACTCAGGACCTTGCGCTTGCCAGGCAAGCGCTTACTCTACTGAGCTGTCACCCCAGCCCAGCATGCCCTGTTCTTAAGGCTAATTGAAGGATTCAAGGTTTAAGTTAGATTGGATCAGTAAGTTTTAGTGTACTGCACTGAACTGCATTGTATATTTCAAGATTTTTTCAAAAATATTTTTTAACACCCTCACCAAAAAAGGAGTAAGTCAATGAGGTGAAGAGTATGTTAACTGGGTGGAGTGAATCTTTATACAATTTATACACAGATCAAAATATTACAATACAGCTAAAAATATGAACAATTATTTGTCAAAAAATAAGTTAATGACTGGGATGTGGCTCAATGCAGAGTACTAATCTAGTGTGGGCAAGGTCTCAGCACCACAAAAGATTAACAAAATATGTAAACATTTGAGCATTTGTATATTTCACATCCAGTAAGTCCAATAGTGTCTGTCTGTCTGTCTGTCTGTCTGTCTCTGTCTCTCTTTCTCTCTGCGTTTAGTACAGGGGATACAGGGTCTATAGGGTTTCATTATGTAGATCCTCCTGTTTTTCAGCCACCTACACGCTGGGATTACTGGTGTGTGCCACCACACCCAGCCTCAATCACTCTCTCAGCGCACCTGGGGGCAGGGCCAGCACGGCCAGCCAGTGATTGAACCCCAGCCGCTGTATTAGTCCACTGAGCTATCAGGTCGGTCCTAGTCTCTTTGGGTCTAATTCAGCTTTGTTTCCACTTCATCCATAATGCCTTGCTTCTTGGTCTTTTAATTGTAAGGTCATATCTATAACACTCTTTGGTAGTTCTTTAAGATCTGGATAAGAGTTTATTCCTCCAAAGAGAATTTATATTTGCTTTTGCTACACACCTGATAACATGCAAACTGAAATAAGCTAAATTTATACTTGTCTGCTTCTCTCTTCTCTCTCTCTCTCTCTCTCTCTCTCTCTCCCTCCCTCCCTCCCTCCCTCCCTCTCTCTCTCTTTCTCTCTCTGTTCCTGGGCTAAGGGCCTTGTGCTTCCCAGGCAGGTGCTGTACTACTGAAATATATCTGTGGTTCCTAAATGTTTTTCTCCATTTAGTGTTTAATGAATAATACTTGTCTTTACCTCTTAGGGGCCTTACATGCTATCTCTCATATCAAGTATGAAAGTGCTAAATCCAAAGAACAAATTCACAACTGACAGGTAGATTTCTCGAGTATAACCTCTGCCTTCTCCTCATTTACTTCACTAGACTTGCACCCCCACTTTCTCTTTGACTCTAGGCTTTGTCCTTATTCTTGCCAGGTGACCTGTGCTGATCAGCAGTACACAGATTTTCAAAGTCTTAAAACATAGCAGATCCTCTAAAATCAAAACAGTGTCACACACAAAGAGGTTTTCAGCATGTCTCAACCATCCTTCAATCAGGAGAGGTAAAATTTACCTTTTTATTTCTAGTTCTATATTGAAAAAATACTACCATACATAAAATTAACATATTGAGGAGCAGAATTAGTTTCGTGGCTTTTATTACAAGCTCTAAAATTTAATGAAGCACCAGTGAAATGGTCAGGTAGGTATAAACTAGTGAGACGAAGTCCACAAGGCGTCTGTCAGGATAAGTAAGTTTGCCATGTGAAGTCTTCATGGTCATAGTTCAGACACCTAGGCATTCGGCTGGCCATGAGGAAGCAGGCTGTGAAAGGCACCCTGCTAAACACCCCCGTTCAGCTTCCCTTCACTTCCCGTTAGAACAGATTACTGGCTGCTTTGTACCGGCACCACAATTCAGCCGGAAGGTTCTCAAAACACCAAGATACTATAAACTCACCAGGCAGTAAGATTACAACTTAAATTTATGCATGTAACATTTTTTCATCAAAGATTTCATACTGTTTCACAAACTTTAAACCAAATCTATACAAAAAAGAAAGATAAAAAGACCATTCTCACATCAAGGATTATTTAATTTTGGAATAATTTTTTTAAAGAGAGACATTATATAGCCTTACATTCAAAATATTTAAAAGTATACATGGCTTCTTGTAAAACACTTGAAAATGGAAAACAAGGGAGCTAATCATTTCAGCAAGACAACAGGAAGCATTAAAATATTTTATTCTTACAAATTACCCTAAATCATTTCACAGCCAGTAGTATGGCTATAGTCAAAAAGTTAGACAACAAGTGCTGAGAACACTGTGGAGAAATCACACTGCTCGCGTGACGCTGGCAGGACTGCAACGCGGCACAGCTACTCTAGGAAACAGGCTGGCAGTTTCTCAACTCGGTAAACACCAAGCGACCACTTGCACTAGGCACTCACTTCTAGGGGATGCATCAAAGAGACAGGAAAGCATATAGTTGTGCAAAACACAGCATGTGAATGTCTGTAGCGGTATTTATTCATAACAGCTAAAAAGTGGAAACAACTCTGACAAGAGATAAGTAAAGCATGGCATACTCATACTACTCAGCCATAAAAGCAATGCCTTTAAAAAAAAAAAAAAAAAAAAAAGAGGGACTTTATATAACCTTACATTCAAAATATTTAAAAGTGCACATGAATTCTTATAAAACCCCTGAAAACGGGAAATGAAGCACCGACACTTGCTACTATACGAGCGACCCAGTCACCGAGAACACACCGTATGCTGCATCTAAGAAGCCAGTCGCCAAGAACACACAGTGCAGGATGCAACACCAGAACAGGCCACGACACAGATACAGAAGGTCACTTAGTGTCTGGTTTAGGCTGAGGAGCAGTGAGCCTGGCAAGTAACAAGCAACCTGTTCAAAGAATTGTTTGAGGGAAAAAAAGAATTCTAAACATGATTGTGGTAAGGTTGCACAACACTTCAAATATCCTAAAGCCAATGAATTACCTGTTTCAAATGGGTATGCAATATGGCATATAAATTAAAATTCATATTATAGCTCAATGATGTTACCCAAAAAAGCCATGCAAATAAAACATATTCTGTGAATGTGATACAATCAACCTGAAACCTGCTGCTCTCTAAAACACTATTTTCAAGAGAACTGAATCACCACAGATAGTACCTTCAAAATTGGAAACAAAAGGAGGGATAAAGTATCATTTTGTATAGTTTGTGAGCACTTTCCCCCTGAGGCAAGGGAGGGTAGCATTAATAAAAACATCTTTACATTAAAGCCAGGGCTGGTGGCACATGCCTATAGCCCCAGCATCCTGGGAATCTAAGTTGGGACAAACACAAGATCAAGCTGAAGCTTGTCTCAAAATAAAAAAGGTCTGGGAATGTGGCTCAATGTTAAGGTCCTGGGTTTTATCCCTAGTACGGCAAACAAAACATGATCGAAAGGTGTAAAACTGACACTGAACTTTCTTACAATAAAATAGCTGAGTAAATTATAAGGCTTACTCGCTGGTAGCTTTAAAGTTTGCTCTATACAATACTAAACTACTCAGGAAGATTTATACAGACAAGGGCCTAGGTATTCTCATTCTGAAGGACCTAAGGACAATGTATACACATGTATATACATAAAGGCACCTGAGGCTAGGGCAGTATCAAGACTAATGGAGGAAACCCAAGAGAAGGATTTTTCCCCCGCTGGAAGCTTTGGCATTTTATAAGGTATGGGCAGACACCTTTCAAAGAACAGCTATAATGTGCTCTGTTAGAGTTGGGGAAATTTAGATGTGGACATCCCTGAGGGTGTGAAGGTAAACTTTAGTGGGGAAGAAAGAGTCTGCACTCTGAGCCTGCGCTCGCCTTCCAGGGAAGGAGCCCTGGTGGGCTGAGGATGGAAAAGGAGTTAAGAGCCTCCTCACCCATTCTACTGAAGGAAGAAAACTGAAACTAGCCAGCTCTGACAGCTGTGGTGCTTGCAAAGCCATGCATTCCAGGGGCAGAGCTGAAGGGAAAGGCGCATTCCTGATGAGACCAGCCACATAACTGGCAAAATGAAAATATGCAGGGTCTTGCTCATGAACTAGGAATTCTAGAACAGTGACAGCAGAGCACTGCTCACATACAGAGATCTCTACAACTGCACGGGTCAGAAGCCCCTGAGGCCAGCTCTGACTCCTGAGCAGCAGGAGCAGAGGCAATTTTTGGAAGACACAGGCAAGTGTGTAGCAGAAAATAAAGATCACCTAAAACTCCATCACCCAGAGAATAGATAGAAAGATATATCTCCCAGAGATTTTTCTACACAAATAATACATGTGCACATTTATTCATATACAGCAATTGTCCGTATTATGAAAATGCTATTTTATACATTCTCTTTTGTACCCCTTTTGAAAGTTTTATTATAACTTTTTGGAGAACTTTCCAAAGTGTTAAAAAATACAGATAATTTCAACCCTATTATATAGATGATTGAACTTATAGATCCATGTTCCACTGTACCAAACAGTTCTCAGTTTTTCATTATTAAAAACAATGGACATTGAATATCAATAATATTGAGTGAAGACTGAAGAAATCAAAATAAAGTACTTTATAAAGTAACTGATATATAATAAACTCTTAAAATGTTAGTAATTTTTAAAAATACTGTATTCTATGCAAATATTGAACTAATTTATATTCCCAAGGTAAAAAATATTCTTTGTTTTTGCCTGTTTATTTATTTTATGAGTGGTCTGTAAATATTCTTTGACAGCCACTATTGAACTCCTCATGCTTCCAAAATTTTTCTTTTTTCTTTTTTTTTTTTTTGTTTTTTGTTTTTTGCAGTACTGGGGATTGAATTCGGGACCCTGCACTTGCCAGGCAAGTGCTTATTCTACTGAGCTATCTTCCTAGCTCTAAAATTTTTCAATGTCATCTGTACCAAGGATATCAATTCTTTGTCATAGGAAGTACTTTTTTCTTCTTATGAAAGAAAGAAAGAAAGAAGAAAAGGAATAACTTAAAACTCACCTCCAGTTCCTAGAACCTTCAGCAGCTCAAAATTTTCAATCCCCACTTTCTCGGTATGTCCTGTTAAATTAGCTTTAAAAAAAGAGAGAGAAATGATTTAGTGGCTCAGCAGTAGCATAGGACCCATAGAGATTTCTGAGATACCAGCAAAGTTCTATTTCTTAAACTTGACATCACTTCATAATAACTTACTAAGCTATATAGCTATGTTTTGTGCAATTCTATGTTTTCAATAACCATAAAACTTTTTAAAGAATTTAGTAATTAGAATCACTTGTAACAAAGGTTAACAAAGTATTAAAAGAATCTCTACCAATATGATCCAAAAAGAAATAAAAATTACAATATACAGACATGTAATGAAAACATAAGTGGGCATATTTAGAAGATGTATTTATTTATTCAGCAAATATTTACTGAGTGTCTAAATGTCATTGCTGGGTTCTACATTAAGTTGTTCGAGTTCCATTTCTGCCACTGAAATCATAGGCAGAGTTAGTATACACACTCTGCATCTTTCTGTCCTCAGTGACCTAACTCTAAGATCCAGCGAGCTGTACATACCCAGGTCTACATTTAAAATACAAACTAGAGGCTGAGGAGAAAGCTCAGTAGAATAGATGCTTGCCTGGTAAATGCAAAGTCCTGAGTTCAATCCAAAAAAAAAAAAAAAAAACCCTAGAAAAATTTATTAAGATCCTAAATTAAATTAGGATATCATATGAGCATTTCCCACAGTATATGCCATTCAATTCTGCCCCTATCTTAGGAGATGTTAATAGTTGTTATGGTTTGGGGAAGTCTGGGTAGTAAAGTGTCCTGGGCAAATAAATAAATTTGGAAATGGTTGGCTTTTAAACACTTTCTCTACTGCTAAACCTCACAAATCTATGAGTCTTTAAGATTGACATACTGTGGTCAATTTATTTCACTTTTAAATTACTTTTTACTGTAAGTACAAATATTATGCGAAATAGCATTCTGTAGAAGTGAAGAAAATCTTGATCCAGATCCTAGTTCTAGCACTTAAAACTGTGTGACCTTGAATAAATTTTGACTCTCTTCTCAGTTCCCAATGATATACAAAGAGAATTTAAAAATACCTACCCCAAAGCATAATGACACCTAAAATTTACTTTGAAAAATATTATAAAATGAAAAATGTAAACTGATGGGTAAACAGAAGCATGAGCAGATGTCATAAATATAACAAAATGTTAACTGCAGGGTATAGATAGCGAGGATAAGGGTGTTTAAAAAATACAGTTCTTCCAAATTCTCTTATATTTACAAATGTCTGTAATAAAATGGCAGAAATAGAAGATCTACCTCATAGGGTTGTGATAATTAAATAAATTTATAGTGTTTGCATGTACAATAAGCAGTAATATGACTTTGTAAACAAATTAATGCTTTGACATTAAAACTCTGAGAAAATTAGACTAACCAAAAATGCTCAGAATTAATTTTCAGGAGAAAAGTAATTACAGTGTCTTTTAAAAGTTTTAATTCACATTTAACATTTTACAAACTTAAATTGAATAAAATTTTTAAAGTTTAAAATTAAAAATGTGAGCTTTTTTTTTTTTTTTTTGGCAGAACCGGGGATTGAACTCAGGTCCTTGAGCTTACTAGGCAAGCGCTTATTCCACTGAGCCCTCTCCCCGACCCCCAATGTGAGCATTTTAATTAAATTTTAAAATTGTTTTTTTTTTTTTTTTTTGTTCCTCGAATGGCTTCAGGGCACTTTTGGCCAGCGGGAGAGTTGTGAGGTTCGAACTCCAGCAACCTGAGGCTGAGAGCTTTGTGGAAGCAGCCACTTAAAGGCCTGAGCTAGGGCCATGCCCCCTAAATTTTAAAATTGTGACAAAATATATAATCTGAAATTTATCACTTAATCACTGTTAAGTGCACAGAGGATTAACTAATGTATAATATTGTGCAACAGGACTATGTTATCTTGAAAAACTATATCCTTTGAACAGAAACCCCATTTTTGACCTTTTCCATAGTCCTGGGGACAACCATTCCAAGTTTGAAAACTTCAACTATTAATGGATAATTTTATAGGGGTAGCAAATCAATATATAATGGCCAGCATAGAGTGCACACTTATAGAAGTATGGATCTAAAATGAATACCCAAAGCCCAGGTAGTATCTTAAACACATAACTGCTTATCTTCCTCTATTATTAAGCAGAACACAGTGGATTAGAAGGTGAAAGACATTTTTAAAATAATGATGAGACTTTCTTATAATTGAGTGTTAAAGGCTGTTATTATTTTTAAATGCTTAAGACATAATTGAGGCAGATGTTTGTAACACTTACTCAAGTTCTCCCTATCAACACTCATCTTTTATTTACTGAAATGTAAAGGTCAGATTTCCAAAAGCTTTATATATGCACTGTATTTCCCCCATATCTCTACTTGCTACTAGACTGAGAAGATAAGGAATTATCTTTGCTATATAGCCTTGCTTCACTAATCATAGAATTGCTTTCACAGGAAATTAAGGAAGATTAAAAATTAACTTTTTTTTTTACAAACTATGCCTTCTGAAAAAAAAACCAAAGCATATACCATCTGGGAAACCCTGGTCATTCACAAAGATCTTTCATGTGATCTTTGAAGGCTGTTTTTGTTTAGAACCTTCTACCTTCATTATTTTGTTTCTGATATGAACTAAGATTTTGTCTGCTTTGTGGGAACTCAAGGCTTCTGCAAGCTCCTAACCCAGGAAAAGAATGGACAGGACTCCAGAGGGAAAGGGCACTGATCGCTTGTGTATGGTGCTTCAGGCTCAGAGAAGAAGGGAGCTCTTTGTACCCTCCAGGTTTCTTTTCTTTCATTTCTTTTCTCACCACCATAGCAGCTCAGAGTTTCATTTATTATTATTTTTTTGTCTTTTTTTTGAGGCAGGCTCTTGTTTTGTAGCCCAGGGTGGTCACAAACTTGTAACAATCTTCCTGCTAGGCCTTTCATCAGTATGCAGAGCCTGATGTTATTTTTTCCCTCTCCCATGCCTCAAGTCCTAGTGAACACTAAAAAAGATCAGACTTCAAAAAAGATTACCCTTGAGCTTATTTTAAGAAAAAGAAAAAAGAGAAAAGAAAGAAACAAACAAACAAGTCTTTTTTACCTTAAGATTATTGTTAGCTTATCTTTCCTGGCCTTTTCTTACCTAAAAGGAGTCAAATTCCACACACTTACGCAGTATCTGCTTAGGGCAAAGGGCCTTTGCTCGTAACAGGCAGGTCTACGGGGTCCAGCTCAGGGCAGCGAGATCAGGGATTCATTTGGGGGTTCAGGCTCAAAGATTATGCCTGTCCTAATGTACTCTTATTTTTTCTTTGCTTGTCTTTTTATTTTTTAGTACAGAGTCTCACTACACAAATCAGACTCCTAGTGAGCCTCCTGTTTTCAGCCTCCCAAGTGCTGGGATTACAGGGGCACGTGCTACCACGCCCAGTCTCAATCGCTATCCAGGTAGGCACGACATGCCAGTGATCGAACCCTGGCCACTGCATCTGCCTAAAAAGGCACTTTAATCCCTGAGCTATCTGGCTAGCCCTTCACTGTCGTAATCTCACTTGGGGACAGGGAGTTGTAACTGAATTAGGATGGGGTATGGAGTCCTTAATTCTAGCAGTGGTCCTAAAAATTATTATCTGGGATTGTCAAATAACTATTTTTGGTTAGTGTCTCTTTATCCTTAAAATATGAAAGACATTACCTTTTCTTTGGTAAAATTATATGACCGGTAATATAAAAGAAGTATTATTATTATTCATTTAACCCTGATTCTATTTTACTTTTTATTTTGCTTTGAAAGTGCTAAGAAATAGAAGCAAAGAGTTCATAGATCAATTATTTTGCTTAAAGGGAAAATTAACTAAGACATATGAGCATCAAAAATCTACAGCTAGGGCCAGGGAGATGGCTTAGTAGAATAAGCACTTGCCTTGCAAGCGCAAGGGCCCCCAGTTCCACAAAAACACAAAACAAAAAAAAAAAAAAACCCAAAAAACAAAAAACAAAAAAACACAAACTACAGCTAAGGGTCGGTGAGATAGCTCAGTGGACTAAGCACCTACTTTGGCAAGCACATGGCCCAGGGTTCGAGCCCCAGTCCCACATGCCATGCCAGCCCTGCCACAGTGCAATGAGTCTGTGACCAAATCTGGGCATGGTGGTGCAGGCCTGTAATCCCTGCACAAGGAAGGCTGAAAACAGGAGGATCATTACAAGTCCCTTAGAGATGTGTGGTGAGATCCTGCACCAAACACATAAATCAAACAAACAAACAAAATCTATAGCTAAACCAGGTGTGGTGGCACACACCTGTAATCCCAGCGCTCTGGGAGGCTGATGGTCATGAGTTCAAGGCCAGCCTGGGTTACATAGAGCAACCCTATTTCAAAAAACCAAAATAAAGACATTAAATCAAAAATCTACAGCTAACCTATTTCCATGTTTTACTGAGATATAATTTGAATACAATAAAATTCATTAATTTGAACAGTTTTATGAAGTTCAGTACTGTAATTATGTATCATCATGAAACAGCTTCCACAATCAAGATTTCAAACAGTTCCATCACCCTAAAAAATTTCTGGGTATCCTTTTAAAAGCAAAGTATTTAAAATTTTGATGGTCTAGTTTATCAAATTTTTGAACCTATGACATGCATGCCATGCCTATGTCACAAAAATACTTTCTTATTTTTTTCTTTGGAAGTTTAATTTTTAGCTCTTACATTTAAGTCTAGGATCCATTATGAATTAACTTTCTTACACAATGTGAGGTATCAAGATTCATTTTTTTTTTCTTAGATTTGCAGTTGGTCTAGTAACACTTACAGAAGGAAAAAACCTCTATCTTTTCACTATTAAGTAATGTTGGCTCCTTTGTCAAAAATCAACTAGCCATTTAAGTGTGGTCTATTTCAAGACTGTATTTTAAGCAGCTTTTCAACTGCTGACCAAAGGGGTGGATGCTACCAGGATTTTCACTACAGTTTAATCAATCCCCTTTCCTGTTTAATCAATTAATATTTATCTAAATGCTAG